GCAATCAGCTATGTTGCAAGCAGATGATGAAGATGACTTTATGGAAGAGCGGATGAAGAGCCCCTTTGGGTCGTCCTTCCGGACGTTTAACGCAACAGACTACAAGCCCATAGGTGAGCGTGAGCGCAGGCTCCGGTCGTGAGTCAGGATTGGCCCGATGGCAGGGAGGCCGGCGTTGTTGTAGAGCAGAGACGTGCTGGCCGTAGCTGTGAGAAGTCAGCTAGAGGGGAAGAGGGTAAAGGTGACAGCACTGCTCTGTTTTCCAGCCACCATCGATGTGAAGCGGAACATCTTTGACCTGTGCACAGACACCAAAGACTGCTACCTGGCCGTCATTGAGGTACACGGTGCCGGTGCCACTGTGTTGGGGATAGGTGTGCTCTGAACTTGGGGCCGTGCTACCGTGGGTCCTGTGGCAGTAGCCTGCCCACCTGCGTGGGTGGTGGGTGGGGTGTAGGAGACCCTCAGCAGAGAGCAGTCAGGACAAGGCCGTGTGCATTCACTCTGCACTTGCTGCCAGCCTGCTGTGAGGAGTCAGAGCAGGACCGTGTCCTAAGGAGAGTGGCCGCTCAGCACTGCTCAAGCCTCCTCTTTCTGTGTCCCGGGCACCACGTTCTCCGAGCTAGCCAGGCTTCGTGGTGAGGGACACAGATGGCCTCTGAAAGCTCCCTGCCTTGGTGTGACTGCTCTGTTTCAGAACCAAGGCAGCATGGACACCCTGAACATGGACACGGTGTGCCGGCTGTATGAAGTGGGCAGGCAGCGGCTCGCAGAGGACGAGGACGAAGAGGAGGACCAGGTCAGTAGTCCTGGAGATTCTGTCAGCCTCAACTCCAGAAGGCTCGTCGTCACGTAGACTCAGAGCCCTGCTCCTACAGAACCTCACCCGGGACCTCGTGGGTGACTCTGCAGAGGCTCCAAGGCCCCGCTGTCCTTGCAGGGATCGCTGTGAGTCTCCTCGGTGCCAGGGGCTGTCTGTCCTGGTCTCAGGGTAGCAGCTCCGCAGGGCAACAAGCATATGCCTGTAGAATGAGCCCCACCTTTATCAAGCTCCGCTTTACTGTTTCCCGCTCTATAACGTAGTGTGTCTTCAGAGTCACGGAGCAGATTGAAGGGGGGAGGTTTGTAGGTTCTTAAGAAATAAAACACGATGAGGTCTAGGTAGGCAGTGTCCTCGTGTTCCGCAGTCTAGCTTGTTCCTTGTGGTCACTGGCCCCCTGTGCTGCGGGAGTGGTTGTAGCACACAGAAACGGATTCGCTTGTGGTTCTGGGAGCTACAAGTCCGAGGTCAGGGTGCTGGCGTTCGGGGAAGGTGGGGCTTCTTCTCTTGTCTCCCCGAACCTTCGCCAGGTGCTCCCCACGCAGCCTGGCACCTCCTTTCCCCTCTGCTGCTCTTGCGTGCTTGTCCAGTCTCCTCAGAGGGGCCGGAGTGACCGCCTGCCGGCACTCGTCCTGCCTCCTTCCTGTCCAGCCCAGAGCTCAGAAGGCTTGGGAGAGCACAGTGCTGTCCACTGGGGTCATGACTGTCCAGCCCCGGCAGGGCCCCTGCCTGTGTGGGCCTGAAGGCTTCTCAGAGAGCGTGCCCCGGGCCACGCTCACCCGGCTGTGCCTTCTGAGAAGTCGTCATTGCTAAGTGACAGGAAGTTGGAAATGAATTTGATTTTCTCGTTTCAGATACTGAAGCAGGGAAAACGTCTTTCCTCCTGGATCTCTGTCTTCTGTCTCTTCCCTTAAGGTGTAGAGGTGCTCTGGACCCGGGTGTTCCGTGCACGCCCTCATCCCCTCCCCTTGGTCAGTCAGTCCCAGTGCTCAGGGCCAGTGAGAAGCTTTATGTCACTCCCCTGCCAGACTGCCTGAACTGAAACCTGACAGAACCCTAAAAACACCCAGATTATGATTATGCGAGTCTGCCAACTAAACGTGCTCCTTGAGGCTTGAGGATGGCACGCTGCCAGCTGTGGGGGGGAGGGGGCGGGGCATGCGCCCGCAGTTCATTTTCTAATGGAATCCTTCCTTGGTACTGGGTCACCCGGGACCCGGAGGATAAAGCAGGCTCGGCTCCAGCTCCCGAGTGTGCCCTTTCTGGGTCTCCGCTGTTTCTGGTGCTGTGTCCCTACGGGCTCAGCGTGCGCAGGGGGCTCGCTCTCAGCTCTGCGAGCTGGGCTGCCGAGGAGAGCCTGGCTCTGCGCACCTGTGGCCACTGCTGGCCTGGCTATGTGCTGACGCAGGAGCAGCGTGCGGGCTGCTCCCTGTCTCCTCTCCTTGTCCCACCCCCCACAGGAAGGGCGTGGGCACTGGACCTGGTTGAATACCATGGGAATGTTTTGGGCTCGAGAACTTATTGAAAATAATACTCTCAGTACCATCATTGCCTAACACCTTCTGTGCTCTAAGAACAGTCAGGCCCTAGAGTTGGAGGCGACATCACCCAGTGCCCCTGTGGACTCCTGGTACTGCTGCTTAGCGGCACGGGCCGGAGGGGGCGAGAGAGCAGCAGGGCATAAAGCGCTGCGAGTTAGGAGACGGCGAGGGGAGGGGCCTGCAGATGGCTTTCAGATGGATCCTTGATGTTTCTGCTTCCCCTGCGGCAGAGATTTTCAGGGGAGCTCGAGCGCTCTGTTGTTGGACAGGCTGCGATTCTCTTTCTGGACGAACTCACAAGTCGCTTGGACCCTTCCTGCTCCATGTGGTGGACGTGATGTGTCTCTTAGTGAGCAGTGTCTCCTCCTCGCTTCCTTGTGGCTCCTTAGAGCCTCCCTACTTTTAATGCAGACGCTCAGGTGCACTGTTGGGGGGGGATCAAGACGTCATTCCTCCTTGAGGAGGTGGAGAAGGTGCAGTTGTCAAGCGTTTTTGTCTGCACCTTGTACCCTGGTGGGTACAGACCACCCTTGTCTGTGGGTTCCCTCCTCTGCCCTGGGCTCACTTCTGCCCGAGGCCCGGGTTCCTGCCCAGCCGCCACTCCAAAGGGATGGCTTTGTTGTATGGATCCGCCCTCCCTGCACTCCCACTCCCGGCAGTGCTTAGGCCGTGGCCACTTTCCTCGGGCCCGGGCTGGGGTGGCTGGGGCGGCGGACCTTGGGTTGGCCTCACTCCAGCTGCGTCTGTCCATGGAGAGGTGTGGCTGTGGAAGGAAGGGACCGGGAGGGAGAGCCACTCCATCGCTCCTTTCCGTCAACCTGGGCTCGAGGGAGAGAGAGAGGGGTTTATTCCCCTCTTGTGGTTCTGCTTGACTCTATTGCCCAGGGAGTGGGAGATGGGGACTTCTGACCCTGGCACGGCCAGGAAGACAGTCAGGACCAGTAGCCCAAACCCAGAGGGGGCTGGTTCAGAGCGCAGCAGAGCGCAGGGCCCTCTGAGCTTCACGGTGCTAGGTGGGTGCTCAGGTGGGTGACTCGAAGGCCCGGCCTCCCTACTGAAAACCAGTGGCCCTGGATGCTTTGGTGCATTTCTTGTTGGGGCACCCCTTAGAGAACTGCTTGATGGTCATCAAGACTCTGGCATTTTGAGTTGTAATGGGGAGCAGCTTCGGTGATAAAATCCCGTATCTCTTTGAAAAAAGCAGTCTCCTCTCCTCTTGATGTGTTGGTTTCCTCCTCGACTCTGGCCAAGGTGTGTGGCTGTGTTGACTGACATCCCCACTGTCTCTCTGCCAACTTGACCTTGTTTTTAACCTTATTTTCCTTTGTAGTCTCTACCTGATTTAAAACCAGATACTTTTCATTTTCATATGAGCCATTTGTTATTCAAAATATTCTCGTCTAGTTATCGGCTCTCAGGTCTTCGTGGGTGTTCCAGGCATGTCCTACCTGGCCAGGGATGCAGGCACCTGTGACCGACACCTTAGAATTTGCTTTTTCTCTTCAACAAGATCAACTCGGAAGCCATTTGATCAGAGAGCCCCATGCTCCACCATGGTGTCCGCATAAATGACCGCCTTTGCTGACAGGGGAGGGGGGCCCCCGAGAGTGGCTGGCCTTCGTCCAGCTGTGTAAATGGCCTTGGAGATGGCAGGCTGGCCGGAGTGGTGCCACTGTCCTGACGGGGGATGGTATACCCTGTGTGTGGTCTGCCTGCCTTTAGGTGTTCGATCACAACAGAAGCAAGCTGTCACCTATCAGAACACCTGTTCATTGCCATTTGGGCAGATGTGTGTGTGTGTGTGTGTGTGTCTAAGAGAGTTTTATGATGTGTGTTGTTTTTTAAAATTACTCCGCAACTTTCATGCTGGCTTCTGGAAAAATTGAAAAGCCAAAGATCAAAAGCGGATCCTTCCCCCGAGATTTGAGAAGCCGGCACCTTTCAGGTAGGGACAGTTCACTCTACGTCGTCAGCAAGAGTCATGCTCTCCTCCACGCGCTGTGCTGACCTTGTGTCTTCTCTACTGGCCGCGCGGCTAGCGCTTTGCTGATTACACACCTACTGCCCAGCAGCTCAGAGCGGAGGCTGCTCATTCCCGAGGGGCCCCTTTTATTCCCTGTGAACATAACTTGTGTGTGAGCTGGTCTGTCGGTGAGAGAGGACAAGGCAGGGACCCTGTGGTGGGGGCGGTGTTGGGAATTGCCACAGCGGAGCAAACGCACAGATGGGGTGCCGTCTCCAGGCCTCCCTCTGAGCGGTCACTCACAGCCTCGCCGATCAGCGACTGGTGGTGGCCACTGGCTCCCGCAGCTTCCCTCCTGCTGGCCAGCCTCTGGAGAGCTCTCAGCATACAGACTGAGCGCGCAGGGGAGCGGTACGGCCCTTTCACACCTTTGCTTGGTTGTAAACGCTGCACTTCTTAGGAACCTATAGTGTTAAAAGGTACTTTACACCAGGGATGAGAATTGAAACCAGTTGCAAAAGGTGGCTTGTTGACCTGCCAGTACAGTGGCTCGGGCTCGAGTTAGACTGTCTTGGTAACGCCTGCCCACCTAGTGTTTCAGAGGTGTGGTTTCCTAAGAGATGGCTTTTATGAGAGAAATGCAGCGGAAAAGCGGTTCAGAAGCAGAAGCTACTTTGGTGATCACCTTGGCGCGTTCTTGCTGAGAGGGGTGCCCTGTGCGATTCCCGAGGAGCCTTTCCAAGCCCACCTGTGTGAGGTGGGCTGTCAAGACTTGTTTGTCACCTTGGGCCCTGGGGGAGGGGTTGGGCAGGTGTGCTTTGAGAAAAGTTTCCCCTGGTTAGTTCTGATGATTACTCGTGAATATGAGCCGTGGACTGAACTCACGAGGGTGGGACTCGGTGAAGGTGGCCTTGGTCGGTGGCTGTGACCTCTCCATCTGTTGCGAGTCTGTGTTGTGGGCCGAGCAGGGAGCCCTGGTGAACCTGGGCTCGTAGACGGCACAGGCACGGGGTGTGGAGAGAGCAGGGGGTCCCCGACTTGGGGAGACAACAGTAGATTGGTGTGAAGCCATGGAGGTGGGAGGGAGGAGGGTGAGAGGGGCATGTGTGGGGAGGGTCTCGGCCTTGGTTCAGTTTTGGAGCGGCAGGCTTTTAGTGATGGTCACCCCCTGTGTGCCTGAAGAGCCGCACCTCCCTGCCCCAGCACAGAATCCAGTGCTGGTTTTTCTTCAGACAGCCATCCCCTGCTGGGTTTGAGGGATGAGCCTTCTGGTTGGTAGTGGGTGACTCGGCTGTCTACACCACCCAGAGACCGAGCTTGCCCACACTGAGCGCCCAGGGTTGAGCATGGAAGGCAGTAGGAAAAGTTGGGGGGGCCCCGGTAAGAGGACCCGGGGACAGCCGCGGGGCGGGGCATCAGTGCTGGTTGCAGAGGGCAGCCGGAGCAGCCTGGAGCCCCACGGCTGCCCGCAGGACACAGTGCGCCTTGGTTCACTGCACGCAGGGCCGCCAGAAACGTGCGAGACTCACCCTTGCTGGTGCCTTTATTGGTGGCAGGAACGTTCCAGCAACCTTGCGTACATGTCTGCACCCCCATCCCTTCATTCCAGCAGCCAGCCTGTTGGACAGGGTGGAGCTGCCCTTGACAGCGCCGAGACGGATTCTCCGTTCTGCTCCCGGAGTTGGCATTGTTTGTAGGCAGCACACGCCCCGGACTGTGCACTGTGGAGTGGTGTGGGCAGAGAGCAAGCGGGAACAGGGCTTAGGTACCCGCTTCTCAACACTCCGCACGTGGAGCGCATTGGAAGTTTGTGTGGATCAGTGGTTCTCAACCTTCCTAATGCCCGTGACCCTCTGATACAGTTCCTCATGTTTTCGTGACCCCAACCATAAAACTATTTTCATTGCTACTTCATGACGGTAATTTTGCTACTGTTATGAATCGGGTGATCCCCTGTGAAAGGGTTGTTCGACCTCCAGGTTGAGAACTGCTGCACTAGAGGGTCGTAGGTGTCACACACAAATGTAGAGCCCAAACCAAGCTGCCCGTGTGACGCCGTCACGCTGGCCGCTGTTGGTGGGCACAGTGCTTGCTGTGCTCTGGCGCCTGGCCCCCTGGGAGTGTGGCATGGCCATGTTCCCTGTGGGCAAGGCTGGCGGTGAGCTGGCATCTCACCGGGGCTGCTCCAAATTCCTCCAGTTCTCTCTCCAACCCCGAGAGCAGGATCTGTGAGCTCAGTGTAGAGACCAAGTCGGATTCCCACATCCAGGAAGCTCTTGGTGCATTGGTGGGGTTGAACCAGGGTGCTAACAAATGCCACCCACTAAATGTTTTCACCTCTTCTGGCTGCTCACTCACAGAAGCTTCCCCCTGCCCTTTGAAGGAGGGGAGGGCTCTTGTCACTCGTGCACCAGAACCGGAGAGTCTGCTTTAAGTACTGTCGCCGCTGGGTGGGCCCTGTGCACCTCTGCGTCACCACCCACTGCCAGATTGAGGACAGGTTATGTCTGTAGCCAGGTGCGGTACAGCTCGGATGGGGGCATGCTGGGCTCTCTCCCCGTGTCCAGACCAGTGCCCCTCTGGCCTTTTGGGAGGAAGACGGGCACCCCAGTTCAGGGCTTAGACCTGGTCGGACCTGTTTCCCAGAATTGCTCTTAAATTGCAAGTTCTCAGTTCTCCTGGGCCAGCTAAGCTTTGATGATGAGTTTAGAAAGGAAAGACCTGGTGATAAGTCACTTTCATCTCTTGTACCCCCTGAACTGTAGAACTTTAGAAGGTGGGGTATCTCCAGTTAACTCCATCAGGGGCCCTGGGTGCAATGTCCTCTAAGGGACCGTCCTTTCTTGGTGCCCGTGTGTCAGCACCGCTCGCTCTGGGAGAGGACTGCCCAGCCTGACACTGCGCCAGGGCGCCATGAGCGCTCATGGGGCATGGGGACACAGCAGCTGTCCCCCAGGGAGCTGTCATGGGGTGTCCCTGGGCTGGGGAGGCGCTGATGTCCCTGCAAGAACTTTGAGCCTGTCCCTGTCTCCCTTCAGCCTTGGCTCCCACCTGCCCCGATGAAGGTGAGTGTGCTCGAGGCTCTGGGGCCCAGCTGTGGAATCCACACCACCGCTGACATCTGCTAACAGGCCAGAGAGTGGCTGTGATACACACTGGAGCACCCAGATAGAGTAGCTGTGATAGAGACTAGACTACCTAGACTCTAGGTCCTAGAGCAGTGATTCTTAACCTTCCTAATGCCGTGATTCATTAATACAGTTCCTAACCCTAAAGTTATTTTCGTTGCTACTTCATAACTGTAATTTTGCTACTGTTATGAATTGTGCCCCCTGTGAAAGGGGTCGTGACCCACAGGTTGAGAACCGCTGTCCTCGAGGAAAGGTCTCTGTTGGTCCTGCCTTTGGGTGGCCTCTTGAAGGGTGGAAGGTCTCTCCATCACACCTTTTTGGGGGCGCCGTGGATCGTAAAGCTCAGTGTCCGCTGTGGGTGAGGCGGAGAGCCAGCCCCTGTGCTGTGCTGTGCTGAGCCTTGGGCCTCGGGGTGTGTCCTGATGGGCCCGCACTTTGTCCCCAGGAGGAGGAGGAGCAGGAGGAGGAGGATGACGATGAGGATGACGAGGACACGGACGATCTGGACGAGCTGGACACAGACCAGCTGCTGGAGGCGGAGCTGGAGGAGGACGACAACAACGAGAATGCAGGGGAGGACGGGGACAACGACTTCTCGCCCTCCGACGAGGAGCTGGCCAACCTGCTGGAGGAGGGCGAGGACGCGGAGGACGAGGACTCGGACGAGGAGGTGGAGCTGATCCTGGGCGACAGTGAGTACACGCCCGCCCGGAGCCTGCCCGCGGTGTCTGCAGAGCAGGGTGGCCGTGCGGGCTCTGGGCAAAGGCCTGGCAGTAGCACTGAGGTCTGTGGCAGCTGCTTAGCCTGCCGACGGAGGCTGGGCTTTAATGTCGGCTGAAGCTTGCCAGGGACTCTGAGCCCTTAGGACCGAGGGCCAGTGGGTGTGTCTCCGCCAAGGACAGTTGGACTTCCTCACGGTGGTGACCTAACCCTTCCTACGTCACACAGAGCTAGGGCCCTCTGTGGAGGCCAGCTTCCCTGTCTGCTTGTGGCTGACCCCTCTTTCAGGCCAGGGACAAGTGTGTGTTTATGGCTTTTGTTTGGCTCACTCCCTGGGCCCCCCTTTGCTCCCCTAATCTGAGTGCAGACCTCCAGTTTGCCCAGTTCACTTGGCCTTCGGGGCAGACTTGACTGTCCCTGCCTGGCTTTGCTGCTGGGCCAGAACCAACCGGGGCGAAGACGCAGTCCATCCGCTCTCCGGCAGATGTCCGCCGTTCTGGGCCTGCTGGCACTCAGGAACGTGGGGTGTGCGTCTTAGCCAGTTGTCCTGTGGTGACCCTGGCCAGCACTGACCTCCAGGCTGTAGTCACTGACACAGGCTGTCTGAACCCATGAACTACACCACCACGTGCTGTCCGTGCTGTGGTAGAGCGTTGGCTGCCTCACTGAGCGCTGTTGGTGCGGGGCGGCCTGCGACCCCCAGGCTCTCCACGATAGGGTTGTTTAGCTCTCTTCAGGGAAACAGGTGAGTGATGCTCATTCCGCTCACAACCCTGTGGTGCAGCCGGCACTGTGACTCTCCTACCTGCCCCAGCACCGCAGACACCCTGAAGCAGGACTCCCACTCCCCTCGCTTCCCCTCGCGTTTGTAGCTCCTGACTGGGGTGCGCGTGCATGTGCACGCGCAGGCAGTTCGGTCATGTTTAAGGGTCCCTTCTCTAGAGTAATCTTAAGACTTGCATCCAGCCCTAGGGGGCAGCTGGCCGGCCCAGTGGAGGGAAGTGTTCCCGCCAGAGCGGCCTCCTGACATGGCTCTGTGGTGAAGGGAGAGGGGAGGGCATCCTTGGGGCAGGGACTGGCGATAGCACAGCTGTGGACAGTGGGGGCTGATGTCACCTCTTAATTGTTTCGTCTGAATCTGAATATAAAGGCACCAAATTCGGATTTGCCCTCTAGAATGGCTCCTTCCTTTTTTCTCTCACATATTGCATCTGGGGGGGCTGGGGTGGTCTTTGTGCCTGGGTGACAACTTGGGGGCCTGGGCTGTGTGCTGGGCTCCGCTCTCCATAGGCCACACAGTGCAAGCTATACCCCTTGGTTTGTAGCCCCCGCTGCTGCCGCTTGCGGAGCTCAGGGCAGGAGTGTGTACCCCTGTGGGGACGAGGAGCCCCTGAAGGGCGGGAAGAAGCCTATGAGAGGACAAGGCCACACCTGTGTGTGCACGTTGCCATCTGCGGCCCAGACCCCCAGGGACCCAAGGACCCAGGTGCAGACCCCACGCTAGGCAGAGGTGTCTCTGTTCCAGGGAAATCCAAACCCTCTGGGAAGGTTCAGCCCCTGGTCCCTGAGGCTCGGGCTGGGCCCAGAACTCAGAGAATGAGCAAAGCCCAATGATGGAAGGAAGCCTGGCCGGGGGAGGGAGCGGCACCCCCACCCCCACCCCCACACAGGCTGTTGGCCCAAAGGGTCAGACAGGATGGCAGGTGAGCGTGGTGTGTGGCATGCAGGCACCTCTCGCTAGTCTTTGAAGAGAAAGCAGGGAGGCTTGCAGTGCCAATAGCTGGGCGAGCAGCCGTGCTGCGGCCACGTGGTCTCAGGAGCACAGCTTGGCTCCCAGGCTCCTGAGTGCTAGCAGGCCTCTGCATGTGCCGCGGCTCACCTTACCCCTTCTCTTCTTCCTTGAGGAAGGAGGTGTTGGGTGGGCGAAGACTTCGGGGCTGGTAGGTGCCCTCCTCAGCGTAGGGGCTCAGGGTTGGTCTGCCCACCTGCCCAAGTCCAGGCACCCACTTCCTGTGCCATGGGCAAGCAGAGTGCACACCCAAGGCCTTTCAGCCAGCGTCCATGCAGGGTGCAGCTCGTGATCTGCCGGCTTCAGAGAGCTTCCTAGAGCGCGTGTGTCTGAGTGCTGCTTGAGGCGGACGGATGGTCAGCCAGGCGGCTCTCATGTGGTAGCCTGGCTCCACGACCCCCCACCCGGCCTTCCCACGTGCTTCTGGGCAGCGCCTCCTGTGGGAGTGCCGCCAGCTGGCCGGGAACGTGTTCCTTGCGGGTCACACTCAGGAAAAGAGTCCGTGAATCCTGCTGGGTGGCACTGCTGCCTGGTGGTGGTGGGGGTGTGTCTCCCACGGCCCAGGACGGGGAAGGACTGATGGCGGAGGAGCCTGGGACAAGATCACCTATCGTCTTCTCCGTCTTCCTGAGGTCAGGCAGGCCGTGGCTCTGCCTCCAGGACGCAGAGGGCGTGTTGCCCAGGGCTCCCAGGGGTGACCAGTGCCAGCAAGGAGCACACTCCCCAGAGCCGGCTCCATGCAGCTAATTGGTGTTTTCTTCTTTCTGGAAGCTGGTGATTAACACAGCGGCTGTCGGCCTGGTGGGTAACCTGGTCTCTCCCTCCTCACTTGCAGCGGACAGCTCCGACAGCTCGGGCCTGGAAGATGACATCTTCTTATCTCTGAACGAGTGAGGGCCGCCCTGCCCACGAGTGCTGGCAGCCACTGCGCCAGGCGGCTTCAGAGCACCTCCCTGGCCTCCCGTCCATCCGGGTGGGCCACCCGCCAGGCACCGCAGGCCGAGGGCAGGAGGTCATGGCTTCGTCACATTTGGATTGGAGGGTCTTCCCAACACGTCAGGCCACAAAGTCCACAGGGTTCGGCCCTATTTTGCTTCACCACCCCCTGCCCCCCCAAGGATGGACATATATTTCCTCAAGGGGAAAAAAAAAACATGCCTCTGGGGCTCTTTCACAATATATTTTCTTTGTACAATGTTCTTTACTTAAAGAACAAGAAATAGTTTTTTATAAAACTTAAAAAAACAAAAACAGGCATTTATAACTGAGGGTGTGAACTCATATCCAGCAGGTCTCTGTCTCTGCGCCGTTTTCTGTGGGAGGAACGGCGTCTAAAGAAGTGCAGGGGCGTTTTTACACACGGAGTCAAATGAAGAGGAAATCGTGGTTTCTTAAATTGATAAGGATGAAGACTATTTTATTATAAATATAATATATGATTTTTAAGCCGGTATGGCTGCCTCCTGCTGCCAGGCCCATGCCCCCTCCAGCAGAGGGGGGGTCCTGCCAGCTGCTGGGCAACGGCGCAGGCCGTGGGCACTGTGGAGATCGGGTCTGGGATGGGGGGAGCTGGGGATGTAAGTTCACTCCCTCTATTTTTTCTTTGTCATTCAGTTTTTCAAAAATCTTGTTTTCTTCCCTTTCTCCCCAATGTGGAAATTACAAATCAAAGGTCTTTTTCTTTAATGTAAAGTGTATTTATTTAAAAAAAAACAAAAAATAAACTACAAGTCTGTCTTTGTCTATGGCCTTTCCCTGTTCTCTCACCTGAGGGGTGTGGTCTCTTCAGACCACAGCCAGGGCCTGCCCCCCAACAGAAGCAGGGGGCCACCACCCAGAGGGAATAATTGTTCGGGGCCCAAGTTAGGCCCCTCAGGGGCTAGCATGTCAGTGCACCCAGGGGCGGGGCTCTCAGAGTGGGCTGGATGGGGTGGGGATGGAGGGGAGACGCCATAGGCCCTCTCTCATCCCTGTTCACACATTTCTCCACCCCCATGACTTGAGGCGGCTGCTCTGAGTGGATTTGGGGGAGCTGGAGAGGTAGGTGTCCTGGGAAGCTAAGCAGTGGCCATCGTTGCTAACCAAGCGGCTGCTCCAGGCTCAGAAGTCAGGAGCTGGTTCCGACTGGCTGGGCCCGCTGCTCCTGAAACCCCCATGGAGTCGCTCTGCTCTGGCTGCCGGACCCCAAAGGGCCAGAGAACACCTTTCCCCACAAGAAACACCAGACCCTCCTCTTTCCTCCCCACAAGCAAGCAGTAGCTTCTTGGCCACAGATCTCTACAGTGTAGAGTCACCTCCCTTTTGAGAGAAGGGGGGGGGGGCGCGGGGGGCAATTTAGTGGTTGTGAAGTAAACAAGAGACAGCTGAAACTCCCCCAAGGCTGGTCAAAGCCCTGCTGGGCTCAGGGGTGGGGTCAGGCTCCTCCTCCATCTGCCAGGCACAGGTGCCTCCCAGCCCTGCACCCCGAAGTCGACTGACACCTCAGCATAAATGGGTAGCCAACACCTGACCAGAGGCCAGCAGGACCTGGTACCAAATGCACCCAAGGAACCGGTGGACAGGCTGGTGGGAGGGAGACCCCTGCCTGGGCTGTGTCCTCCTCCCGGGGACTCTGCTCAGCCCCGGAAGCACCCAGGCCTCTGCCGGGAAGGCGCAATTCTGGTTGACTAGACCACACCCTTAGGAAAGGGCCTATGAGGTTAAGGGCACATCTGTCTCCCGCTCAAAGTCTGGATCATTCCAGCTGGCACAACAGGACCAAGTCATCTATGAGGCCAAGTTTGCCCCCCACCCCACTCCCCCTTCAGCCCTAGCACCACCAACACGGCGCCCGAAGCTTACTGTGGCAGGTCCCAGGGGCTGTGAAGTCCTACGGGTTCGCAGCTGGAGGTCTTCAACTGCTGACCTTGCAGTTAGCAGCTTGGAGCTTAGTCCAGGGGATAACGTTCAATGGCTTCCTCCTGTGGGCTGTTTCAGATCACCAGCCCTGCCCACCTGACCTTCTCGTGTTGGCCGAGACGCGGTGAAGGTCTAGGGAAGAGGAGACGGAGGTGCGGCGCCCTGAAGCCAGAGGGAACTGCCCCTGAGTCATTGCCACTCAGCTCAGAGAGCGTCTGGACTGTGCCCAGGTGGCCACAGCTGCCCAGTGTTGGCCTGCAGGGACCGAGTGAGGGAGGCCCAAGTGGGAGGATCTGGTGGTGCAGGGGCCCCCGGGAGGGGCGCAGGTGTATGTGCTGGACCCCCTGACGGGCTGCTTGGATCCCTGGCACCTGTGGCCACAGCTCAGGTGGAAACTGGCAAACATGCCAGTGTGCTGGGCTCGCTCTCCTACACCACCCATCAGGTACACTTCAAGGGCCCCCACACCAGAGCACGCGCGGCCCCAGTTCATGCTTGCTGACCATTCCAGCGAGCAGGGCCCACTCAGAGCCTCGCCTCCCAGCCCTCTGGCCGCACGCGCTTGCAAGACTGGGACCTGGACGGTGTTCTGAGGCGCGCACGCACATCCCTCCCTGGCCTTGGCTCCTGCGGTGGAGGCGTGTCAAATACCCAATTGAAGCCCCTTTCCTCCAGCTTGGGCCGCACAGCCGATCCAAGCGCTAGCAGGGAAACTACTGCCACCAGCCACCTCCGATCCCCCCTCCCCACACACAGCTCTAGGTGTGACCCTGGGCGACCCCAAAGCCCAAACCTACAAAGATTCCACAGTTAACCAATGAAGGCTGCCCCAGCCCGACTCCTCCAGACCCAGGCTCCGGTGTGGGCAATGAAGAAGTGGGTGCTGAACAGGCTGGGAGGTTGGCCTAGCGGGGAGGCTGGGGGGTGGGTGGCACAAGGACGCCTTGGCATTGACAACACACTGCTCTTCCCATCACTGGGGAACGAGAGACTGTCAGAGGCCGCCTACCTTGGGGCCTGTGTCGCCAACATTCAGTGCACGTGTGCACACGTACCTGTTGTTAGGGCAGGAAATCCAACCAGAAACTGCAAATCTACCAGTGGCTGCAGGTGTCAGGCTCACCCTGCAGCTGCTGGAGGGCTCAAGCCCTAAACGAAGCCCACCTGCCCACAGCCGGCCCCTACCCGAGAGCCGGGAGGAAGGCTGCTGCCCCTGTGTGAGGGGGCTGGGGGTCTGGTGTCCACGACCTGACTACCATGAAAGTAGCACTCTGGACAGGGTTAAGAAGGCATCCTCTGTCAAAGGCTTTACTGACGACCCTCCACACAGTTAGTCAATATATAAAAATACAGCACACAGCAGACAGCATCTCATACACTAGAAATCGACCTAACAGGAGTCCCTTCTCACAGCGGCAAAGCATACACAGCCTAGACATTGCCCTTTGGTGGTGAACAGGGCTCCAGCCGCCCCCCTCCCCACCACCAGTGAACTGAAGTAACACGGCAGAGAACTGAAACCAAATGTGCAGGGCAAGTGGGGGGGTGGGGGTGGGCAAGGAGAGGATCAGACTTTAAAAGAACGGTTTTGGGGACACAAACAAGGAGTCAGAAGAGGCAGGGGTTCGGGTTAGGCCGCGTCCCTCACTATAACTACCACCATGTGCTCTTCCTCCAGCCTGCCCAGTGTCCTCAGCGCGGCCTGGAGGTACTGCTGGGAGAAGTCGCAGGGCGGGAAGGCGTAGAGCATGCCCGTGCTGTCTCTGCCCTTGGACCCACCCACTGGCAGACTGATCACCCCTGCAGCCTGCTTCTGTTTCAAGTAGGAGACCAGGTTCCTGAGAAGCCGCCTCTGCAGGCCCGGCTCCACGGTGGGCAGCCCCTCCGCGCCAGGCCCGCCGGCGGTGGCCTGGGTGGCCAGGAGCACGGCGTAGCCATTGGGGCTCCCCTGCTTGATGCGTCGTGTGACCTCGTCGAGCTTGGGCTGGTCCAGTCGCAGGCGCTGCGCGATCTTCAGCTGGGTCAGCTTACTCCCGGACGAGTGGTCCTTGAGGAGGCCGCTGATGACGCCCTGGTCCCCCTCGAGGAGGTGCATGGACGTGGAGAAGCAGCTGTTCTTGAGCACGAGCAGCCCGTTCCAGCCCAGCCGCAGCGTCTGCGCGTACTCGGAGAGGCTCTTCAGCTTCCGGGCCTCGTGCTTGGGCTCCTCGGGCGGCTTGGGCTCCGCCTCCGTGGTCCGGTGATTGCGCTCGCTGTCCCTGGTCTTCTTGCCGTGCGACGCGTCCGCGGGCTCGTGGTGGTGGTGGTGGCCGCGCTCCTCGGCCCCGTGTCTGCTGTTGCTCAGGGCGTTGCTGCCCGGGTCCTTGGCCCCTTCACTGGCGTGGTTCTCCTTTCGGCTGCGCTCCGGGGTGCGCTCGGAGCCGCGCTCCAACTGCTGCCCGCCACCCTTGGTCCTGCTCCGTTCCTCGTAGGGGGAGTGGGTGGCCCGTCCGCGGTCGCTGGACAGGCTCCTGCGCTTGCGCCGCTCTTCCCAGGGCTTGCCCGCGCCACGGTCCCCATCCGCCCCCCAGCGCTCCCCACTGCGGCTGCGCACCGAGCGGCCGTAGCCCTCCAAGCTGTTCCGGCGGTCAGAGCTCTTAGCGGGGCTAGTCCAGTCCCCTTCCAGAAAGGTCCGGTCTCGGTCCGAGTACAGGAGGTGCGGGGGCGTCCTGTCCCGCACCCTCAGGTCCGGATCCAGGTGCCGGTGCCGGGCGTACCCGTCGGGGAGCAGCTCGTAATGCACCGGCAGCGGGGAGGGTTGGTACTGCTGCGGGTACCGGGTCTCCTCCGCTTTGGCAAAATCCACCCGCAGCCTGCGGTCGGGGCCCCCCAGGGGGAAGCCCCTCATCTTGGCGCAGGCTGCCTGCGCCGCGTCCAAGCTCTCATACTGGATGTAGGCAAAGCTGTCTCCCTTGACGTGGTCGATGGTCCGGATGCTGCCGAAGCGGTCGAACTCGCGCGCCAGCGCCGCCAGGGACGTGTTGGGCCCCAGGCCGCCCACCCAGAGGCGGGTGGTGGGCTTGGCCTTGCCGTACCCGATCTTGATGGGGTTGCGACCGATGACGCGGCCCGACATGGCCACCTTCGCCCGGTGGGCCATGTCCAGGTTCTGGAACTTGAGGAAGGCGTAGGCGCCGCCCTGGCCGCGGGCAGGCCTCTTGATGACCACCTCCTCGATGGTGCCGTACTTCTCGAAGGCGCGCCGCAGCTCCACCTCGGACACGCTGTGGTCCAGGTTCCCGATGAAGAGGTTGCGCGTGGCGCGCTGGTCGTCCTCGGGCATCAGGTCCTCCTCGCACACGGCCGGGTAGGCGTACGGGCGCCCGCGCTCGTCGCAGAGCCCGTAGTAG